TTCAACGTTATTTCAACGTTATTTGCCGGCTGGGATATGTATATACCCAGCCGGCATTATTACGTTGTTTCAACGTTGAAATTCGGTTGAAGCGTTGTTTCAACGTTGTTCAACTATGTCACAACGTTAAATCAACGTTACCGTTTAAACGTTGATTATTTAACGTTATTTCAACGTTAAATCAACGTTACAGTTTAAACGTTGATTATTTAACGTTGTTTCAACGTCATTATTTCAATCATTGTCGACAAAAAGAACGATATAAAATTTATGCGCGCGCAGAAATGGAAGTAAATTCGTAAACATTATTTCAACGATTAAAGTTATAGAGATTTATAATGGAAAAAAAATGTAAATACTGAACTTATATCATATAGAATTTTCAAGAGATCGAAAACATGTTCAGACGATTTTCCTGAAAGAACATTATCGTTTAAAAATCGATGTTTTTCGTTTAACTTGGGCTACAATGCTCAAAGACTGATATTATTAAATGTAAATATAATACAGCTTTTTCAAAAAATTTATTTGAAAAATTAACTTCAACCACATCAGTTATTACTATGAAAACAGACAAACTTGTATATAAACATAATCCAAACAAATCGTGTTATTGCAATTTACTTGTATACAAACATTTATTTTAAAAATAATAGATCTTGCGACTTTTATACTGGCCTTACATCTGTCAATGTGTTTCATCAGTTAGTGCAGTATCACCATTAATCAAAAAAGATAAAGTGATATTAAAAAAACATTTACTTCTGTTTTTTGAAATTTAAAAAAATCTTTAACTACTTGGACCAAAATAAATGTAATGCAGCAAAGATGAATTTTTAATGATGCTAATACTTGGATTATTGACAGCTGATTTTGCTGACAGGTTTAATATATTTTTAGGATTAGCGAATGCAATCTTTTCTTCATTGTTGAAAGCTTCTAGCTCACTTTTAAACCACATGGTTTTTGTTCCAAGTAAAGATGTTATAAGACAGGCAATGCAAAACAGATTTTAGAAATTAAATTATTCAGACTAACACTAAATTTCAGATATAACAGAATTTATTATGGAAACACCTTAAAATTTTGACTTACAGAAACTAACAGGGAATGAATACAAACATTACAACAATATAAAAACATTAGTACCCCTAGCTCCAAATTAATCAATAATTTTTTTCAAAAATTTCTAAAGCTTACAGAAGCTAAATTTTGGATAAAAAAATTACATATCGCAACAACTATTTAGATTGTATTACAAAATACTATTGTATAATGTATGATTAAGGCTTTAATATTAATTTTTTAATACAAATGAAGTGATTTTAATTAAATCCATTTTTATCAGTCACTTTAAAAATATGATGAGTATTTGTATAAAGATAAATAAAATTTCAAACAATAATATTAGCTTTACTTGTTGTTTTTTTTTAGGTGAATCAATTGCAATTGATGGAATATCTTTAAAATGCTGAGGTAATCAAAATAATTTTTAATTATTCAGGAATTTTAAGGATTTAATTATTTAGCATAAAAATTGTTTGATAATGAGTTCAATTTAAATTTAAAAAAAAAATTAATATTAGTTCTCGCACAATTAATATTAGTTTTCTTATCTATTAAAATTTAGAATATTTTCCAACAATTTTGTGACCTCCATGAATATGAAGGGGAAAGGTGGAAATATGCTTTAAGAGCACTAATTTATATGGTGTAGTGAAAGGTATACCTTTATAAGATATGTAAAACTTTTTTATTCTCATTTTTTATATATTCAAAAATTTCTCCTTGTATTTTTTTTTTTGTTTTTTTTTTTCTAATTCTTTTTTATTAACAGCTTCTATTAAATACGATGGAGCGACTGAAACTTTAATTGATGGCATTTTGTCTAACTTCTAGAAATGCGCTTCATTTCGAAAAGGTGGCGGAAAAGAAAAAAATTTAGACTGATTGCTATAAATTTATATTTATAAAAATCGATCTAAAATTTCTTTATTGAAATATTTACATATATTTCAATAAAGAAATATTTTCTTTTTGTCTGCTAATATTTTTTTTTTTCAGTGTTAATTCAACATTACAAATTAAAACTCAATTATGAAAAAAGTCTAGATTTGAGTTGGTGTTTTAAGTAAAATAAGAAAAGCCCAAAAAGTAACTGATGTAATATTTTTATTTTTTGATATAAAAAAAATTCTAATAATGTTTAAAATTGATATTAATATTAATGTTTATTAGATGAAGATGAGTAAAAAATAAGTAATGTTTATTAGATGAAGATAAGTAAAAAAATGAGTTACTAGTTATTTTTTGGTCTTGAAAATTGTTTGAATGATAATTTATTATTTATCAAAATATTTTCTTTTTTAATTTTTGTTGTTTTTATATTTTAATTAAAAGTAGATATTATTGTGTCATATATTATAATATAGCTTATATTATGCTATTATATTTTATATTAATAATGAGTATTTTTGTTTTTTTGTATTTCTATTTTTTTTCAATATTCCATATTTATCTTATGTAGATGTTTATGTTTTAGCAACCTTGTTTTTTTTCATTATTTGTCTTTGTTATTGAGCCTTAAGTCATTTGAACATAATATATTCAGAACTCTGCTGAATAATAGAGTAATAAATAAATTAATAAAAATGAGTTTAAAATATAATAAATTTATAAAATAAAGAAAATCTTATCTTTGCTTATAATGTCTACTAATATTATTGTTTAGCAAGTATCATGGTTATAAAATGTTCAAATTTAGCTAGTTTAATTAGGCCTGTTAGTACACTTATATTATGGTTTCTTCATTTTATATTAGTTCATGTAATTTTTTCAAAATCGAATATGCGGAAAGGAGCTGTTTGGAATGAAGATTTACAAGAAGAAGTAATTTCATCTGATTGGATTAGTGATAAAACTGTTTGTCGGCTTCCAGGTACCAAAGCATTGACTGCACTAACATGCAGAGAAGAATTGGCTTAAGTTTATACAAATAAAAACTAAATTCTCTTCAGGTATTACATCTATATATTACAATTATTATTTTTTAAATAACGTGGTAAGAAAAGTTATTTTGTTGATACAAAATATATAACTATTTGTATAACTATTTCAATTCTAAAAGAAAGCAAACAGTATTGTGAAAATTTTAAATTCACAACTACAAAAGAAAAATGTGATAATGAGAATGTTGACAAGTGGATGCAAGATTTGCACACAAGTGGAAACTTGGATGCAAATTTTCCACTTGTGTGGTTTGGATGGTTCTCCACAATATAATATATCTCCACAAGCATAATATTAGATTTACTTCATGTTTTTTTACAGATGAATCAATTACAGTTAATTGGTGGAGTTACCTCATTTATAATCAGCGTGTCTGCAGCTCCTCTAAAATCCTCTAAAGTCCCCTTTTTTTAAAACCACTTCTAAAATCCTCTATTATCCTCTAAAGAGGTAAAAATTTGATCAAAGCTCCTCATTAATTCTTCCTTTTTTAATTTTTGATGGATGTATAATGTTCAAAATACCCATTCTCGGTCTGCAAAACTGGTTAACGCCTTGTGCATGGAATTGTAAAAAATTGCTTTAGAAAATGCATGCTATTTAAGATAACAAATGACATTATTTGATCCCTGTCTATGCCCCATAAGTGTATAAACATGGACGTTAAACCATTAATAAATGGCCACATAAAATTTCTTATAAAAATTTTATATGGCCACCCCGAAAATTATTTTTCAATGCTAGAAATGTTTCATATTTTGATTATTAATTTATTTTTAATATATTAAAAAGGTTGTTTTATTCAAATTAAATATTTGAAAAAGTTATTAATAACCAACTAACTGTTATTATTTTTTAAAAATTCAGAGTATTTTTGAAAAGTTATATGGCCTCCATGGATACGAAGGGCAAAGGTGGAAAAATATGTTTTAAGAACACTAATTTATATGGCGTTGAAAAAGATATACCTTCATAAGTTGTAACACTTTTCCATTCATTATTTATTTTTTAAATCTTCCCTTTTTGTTTTTTTTTTAATATATTTTTTTATTTACAGCTTCTTATATTGTACTCAATGGACCAAAAGAACCCTCGGTTAATGGAGCATTGTTTGACTTTCTAAATTACGCTTTATTTCAAAAAGGTGGGGGAAAAGAGAAGAAATTTGTGTAGATTTTATTCAATTACATGTAAATATATGTAATATTTGAATATGTATTTTTGAATAAAGCAAGTTTTATCTCTTTCTTTAATCATACCTAGCTATTTTAACTAAACTAAACTGAAAAAGTTCTAAATAGTCTAAGTATAGACTATGAATAGATTTATCCATAATATACCTTGATAATGTACAGCAACACTAATGTACATGCATAGTACGTTTTGATGGTGATCATATTTTGACGCAAATAGCACGTTTACATACATATATACATTTTGACATACATAGCACGTTTTGATGGTGAAAAAGTGTTTTACAGTCGTTTAACGTTGTTAAATCAACGTTAAAAAAACTATCATTTTAAACAACGTTTAAAATGATAGTTTTTTTAACGTCGATCAACGTAAATTCAACGTTGTTGTAACGTTTTTTCGCGTCGAATTAACGTTGATATAACGTTTGAATCTAACGTTGATTTAACGTTGATAAGTCAACGTTGAAAAAAACTTTCATTCTAAACGTTAAATCAACGTAAATTCAACGTTATTGTAACGTTTTTTCGCGTCTAATCAACGTTGATATAACGTTTGAACCTAACGTTGATTTAACGTTGATAAATCAACGTTGAAAAAAACTTTCATTCTAAACGTTAAACCAACGTTAATTCAACGTTAGGTTTCAACGATATTTCAACGTTATTTCAACGTTATTTGCCGGCTGGGTATATATATATATATATATATATATATATATATATATATATATATATATATATATATATATATATATATATATATATATATATATATAAAGAGTGATTAAAACTAACTTTTTAACCAATCACTGACTGCATCTTCTTCTCTTTCTAATATAGGAGAATCTAAATCCCTCGAACAAACAACATCAACTGTTAAATCGCCAACTGGTAGAAAACGCCACATCATTCCATCTATGTTAGATAAATCTCCTAAATACGGAGTTTTTCTCACATCACAAAAAAATAAATTCTCGTACTCATCATATGTATGATCATCCATACCATTTACGTTATGATATACCCTTACACTCCAATTTTTGTAAAGTTTACTACTTTTGACCTCGTTAATAACGTCAGTAATGTAATTTCTGTAACTTTTATTGCGAGCACTTTGATAATAGGCATACGATAATACATTTGAGCTATACATTTTGAGGTTGCTACACAGTGGTCGGATATTAAATATCAATGAAGCTTTGTTGAAACAAGTGGAGTTGTTAATTGTCTCTTTATTTAAGCCATAAATTTCCGAGTAAAGATTAAAAATGTTTCCTTTTGTAAAACCATAAAATTCTTCCAAGTTTACTTTTTTAAAATAAGCAAAAAATTTTAAAATAGCAGTATGATAGAAAATGTATATAGCTACACAAGTCGATAGTATCAAAAACACTTTCTGGTTGAGTTTTTTCATTCTAATTTTTTAACACTTTAAGAAATACTTTTTTGTTTTAATAAATAAAAATAAAATATTAAAAGAAATTCGTGAATTCAAAAAATGTATAGCTAAATTCAACGATTATCATTCAACACGCAGCATAGCATTCAAAAGACTTTGAATGCTATTTCTCTATTTCTTATTAATAAACTACAGTAAATTCCCGGTTATTTGAACCTCTTCAGGGATTAAGAATTTACTCCGAATGACCGAAATTTCAAATAACTAAAATTCTCTTTTAAAAATTCTCCTTTATGTGCCAATTAAAAACAGCCATTCACAGAACGTATAAAAAATGATTCAAATAAGCTGCTACATAAAATAAAAAAAATCTTTACAGTTTTTTGAAAAAATTGTAAATTTTTGGTTGCTTTTTTGTTTCTAAAAAGAGTTTATTCAATATAAGGTTAGATGGTTGCCTTATTTTCTAGCATTTTTTTCGAAAAAAGATCAGCGTTAAAGTTGAAACGTTAAAAATGTTTAGAAATTAAGATGAAGTTAATTTAAATGTATACCTTATTATTTTAACAACAATCTATAAAGAGATTTTCTACCCCCACCTGCCTTCCCTTTCTTCCGGTTGCCGCACGTTTTCAATAGTTGACTTGACCAAATTTTGAAAATTTAACAAAAAATTTACAAAGTTATTTATGTAATTTGCTTAAATTTTTTTCAAGTCATTATTTTAAGTAATTAAATAAGTAATAAACCAACGCGCTGATCAATTAATTTTAATTGACTACAAAACCGTTACTGCATGCTGTAACGGTTTTGTGATTAAATATAATTATAACTGATTCAAATCAGTTACATTTTTTTGTGGTCAAATAAATGTAACATTTTTTTGGGGTCAAATAAATAAATTACAAAACCCAGTTTTAATAATGAAAATTGAAAAAATTAAATGACAGTTTCAACATGATGAAGCGGCGAGATTTGTAATGTAAACTTTAGATTTTTAATTTAAATTTAAAGTTTGCAATACAAATATCTAACTTTCCAAGTGGGAAAAAAAGATTAACAGTATATTAGGTATAGAGGCTAACATTATTTGGAAGAGTTTGAATATATCGGATGACAATAAAAGGGATTTTATGAACAATCTTAGAAGGAAACGGAAGGAGAAAAACAAAATTAGGACGCGGTTTGAGGCTAAGTACCAGAACTGGTTAGATGGCGATGTTAAGCCTGTAGTTTTTTTCGACATGAATGGATTGGAAGTCGTATAAAATTTAGCATCCTCAAAAGTATTATATTTTAGTTTGAGAAAGACTGCCAGCTGCCAGCCCACTCTTTTTGAGAAAGACTGTATAACAATTATTCAAATTTTTTATAGTTTAGAGTATTAAAAAAGTGGATGTTCTACCTCCGGTAACTCCAGGACAAGAAATTATAACCGAGTGTCTACTGGGAGACCTACAGTGAAATTTTTGTGTGGATAGTACTGTACAAAGAAAAGAAAATTGGAAGAACTATGCAGCAAATGCCCACAGATGAGCTGCTATTTGTTGCTATGATGCATCTCAAAATGGATGGAAGGTTAAAAGATAAACAGATATTTCAGGAAATACTCAGTAGTAAAGATGATGAAGTAGTACAGCAAGGTGGTTCTTATAGTAATAATGAAGCACTTGCTCTGTTATTACAATGCAAATTATCCAAGAATAATTATCAAATATTACACAATGGAGCCAAGGAAACAGGATACAGCAGAATGTATTTTTTATAAAATTCCTCTTATACTTTGAAATACAAGTAAAGGACTACTCAGCTAAAGTAGGCCTTCAAGATATATTAAACCATACAACAAATAAGATAATGAAAATAGCTAATACTTCCCAGTGGGAAAAAAGACGTCGAAAAGACGTCTTTAAAAGTCTTATTTACAATGTCTTTAAGATATCTTTTTTTAATCGATTATGCAAATCTAGAAGACACCTCTTTTCAACATCGAAAAGACGTCTTTTTTATTTTAATCTTGTTATGAAAAGACATAAAAAATGGGTCTTTAAGACGCCTTTTTTTAGTCGAATATGTAAATCTAAAAGACATCTTTTTTAGACATCGAAAAAGCGTCTTTTTTGTCTTTATCTTGTTATAAAAAGACATAAAAAATGCGTCTTTAAGACGTCTTTGTTAATCAATTATGCACTTCTTTTTTGCTCGGGGTCCGAACGACTTTTTTGTCATACTTATTAGTATACTATAGTATCCTATACACTATAGTATTTCTACTTTTCATATATGAAAAGCTGTTTTTATCAAATGAAAATGATAATAGCTCTTCATACAAAGTATGACAAAAAGCTCTTTCCGATGCCGAGAAAAAAAACCTCTTTTAGATGTCAGTATAAAAGAGAAAGCATTTTCTTCATCTTTTATATGTTTAAATATAGGAAAATAGTTTATAAATAAAACAACAGTATTATTCGACAGAATATTTTTTCATCTTTCTCTTTCTTTCCTGTTTCTTGAGCGAGCTCTGTTTCTTGGAGTTTTTGAATAAAATTAACTATTTCACGTCGAGAAATCCTTTCATACGAGCTGGTTACGACTTCTAGCTGGTTACGACTTCTAAAAAACGAGTGAACATAAAAAACAGTCTATTGCTTGAATGTAATACAAAAAAGCAAATGAAACTTGATTAGCTGATTGAAATAGCATTAGACTTACCGACTCTTAGTTCAAAAAGGGCTAATCCTTTTAACCCCCTCCTGTTTCCCACTCGGTATTTTCTTTTTGAACCAACTAAGTTAGATTGGGACAGGAGTCAAACGGTAAACAGTCTAAAAATATATAAAAATGAGTATGCTAAAGAAATTTACGACCATCAAAATGACTGAACAACGATGTATTTTATTATGTAGTACTTAAACCAAGCTAAACATTTGCAACTCTCAGATTTGCTATGAAAACCAAGTTATTGAAAATAGATATTGATATTTTTCTGTCTTCTATGACATGACTTTTTAATTGAATTTCCATGAAATTAAGTGTTGTAGACTCATAACAATTTAAAAATCCTTTATTGACTAAAGACTATCAAAACAAAAAGATAATTCAGCTAATACACCGTGAGAGTTATTATTCATCTAAACTGGATAAAAGTATTAGCCAAAGCTCTATTTTAGCCTGAAACATAATGATGCTTTACCTAACAACATAAAATCATAAAAACTGGCGATATCATTAGCAACACAGATGAAATACACATAAACAAAAATGAAGACTAGAAAGCTGCAATGATGTTTAGATATAAGAAAGTGTACCTTTCCAGTATCATTTTCACTTGGTCTTTTGTATTCAAACCAAAAGTTTTGCAAACAGTTCTAAAGATAAATCTGTTGTCATTTGCTTTGTTAATGACAGACAACAGTTAACAAAAAAATAACAACTTTAACATAAAAATTAAAAAGACAATCTTTTGTATAAACAATTTTATCATTTAACTAAATAAAAACAACAAAATTATTCAGATTATTTAAAAATATATAAAAAAATTGCAAGCCTACTGAATTCTTCTTCTTTTCTATCGTTCGTTTCACTGGCACCTGAACAAGTAAATACAGACTTCGTCAAGCGCAACACATTAAACAAGTAAATATAAACAGAAATTGTTTTTAGGTTTTTTTTTTTCGTCTGATATAAATATTTTAATTTAATATGTAAAAAACAACGTTCTTCAAGCACAACACATTATAAAATTAGTCCAAAAATAAACGGTAAAACCTTTTAAAACACTTACCTCCGACTAACTTTATTAAACTAGATCATATCGATACCATTTTACTGGCACCACGCAATCCACTTTTTGCTTCTTCCAATTAACATTTTCTAGCTAAACAGCTGCAATTATATATATATATATATATATATATTATATATATATATATATATATATTATATATATATATATATATATATTATAGTATATATATATATATATATATATATATATATATATATATATATATATATATATGTATATATATATATATATATATATATATATATATATATATATATATATATATATATATATATATATATATATATATATATATATATATATATATATATATATATATATATATATATATATATATATATATATATATGTATATATATATGCATATATATTATGTATATTTTACATAATATATTACTTTATTATATAAGTTATAAAATAAACCCGCTTACTGAAAATAGTTAATTTTTAATTAAACTTTCTATGCAGAAACGTTTCACATAAAAATAAGTTTTATAAAAGTATTTTGTCAACAAAAAACGGGCCAAGCAGAACGTAACAAAGATAATAATTACGATACTGTAGGTTAAAACCCATCTTTGTTAAGGTCTATTGGCAATAATTATTTTTAACTTTCTTAAGCAAATAATAATTTCCTTCTGGGTAATGTTTAATTTAACATTTAAATGAAAATTTTCTCATTTCTTTTTTTTAAAGGTTGTCGATATAAAAGGCGTCTTTTCTACGCTTTATTTAAGACGTATTACCGATTGGCGTCTTTTCGACCGCTTTTTTGAAGACGTCTTTTCAAAAGACGTTTTTTCCACGTCTTTATTAAGGCTGATTTTAAAAAGACATAACAAGTCATAAAAAAGACGTCTTTTATTCGTCTAAAAATATCTTTTTTCCCACTGGGTTGTCTTCAAAACTCCAAACTTTTACTAATCAGTTGGATTTAATAGCAGTACAGGACAATCTGTTTACAAAGAGAAAACTGAAGATTGCACTCGTGAAGATTCTTCTGTTGAGAAAAGTCTATTCCTGACTTGCTTGGTACCACATTAACTGTCTGCAATTGCTCCATCTGAAATTCTATGGGTTAATGAGAAACCTTCATCAACTTTGTACTGTAGACCCATACGTTTTAGATATGTTAATGGGAAGAAAGATTTTCTTGTTCAGGAGCAACAGCCCTCAGTAATTCTCTTAACTGTCCTTAACTGCCTCAAGCGATTCAACTCTGTGTTGTTCTATTTGTGGGGCAACTTCAATTCAAATGAATAATCTAGATACTATATATGAGAAAAGTAACGCACTTTGCAAATCTAGCTTTTCCTATGGAATTTCTACTTTTCATGCATAGATCAGATGTATGGAGTGTCTTCTTCACATCTCATACAAAACAGGTTTTGAGAAATCGCAAATTAGGGGAGATGAAAATAAATTGAAGATGAGGGAGAAGAAAATATTTGTTCAGTGAGGATTAAAAGAGAAGATTTTGTAGTGAATGTTCCTAGATCTGATGAACCTGGAACATCCAATGGTGGTTAAACGGCAAGACGTTTTTTTTAAAAAATCTAGCCCTTATTTATGATTTTCATGATTTAAGCTAAGCAATAAATGATCTATAAAATATTTATAAATAAAAATGTTTTCAGAATTATTCTGTTTCTGCTGAAGTATTGAGTATCGACTAACCATGCGTTTGTACATCATACTATGTACTATCTCCTGTGTGGAAGATGTAAATCCTGAGGCTATAGAGGTCTATTGCAATGAGACAGTTCAACGTTTTGTTCATTTATACCCCTGGTATTATGTGCTGCAGGATTTACGCCAACTTTTAGTACACTCTCTCACACACACAGAAGGTGATTTTCAAGTTACAGTCGGTTTTTTTACGAATTTAATTGGCTAGTCGGGTATTTGATACAATTCAGTCGGTTAAATTTTAGTTTTGAGGACCTTTTTTATTTTTCATTTTCGAAGCCAGTCGGTACTTTTTATGGATTCACCCCCCTACCTCCTTATTTTATTTGTAGAATCGCCTCTGATTCAAATTTTTAATTTAATACAAATATCTGTCGTATCAGGTCACAATGGGGAAGGGCGATATTTGGAGAATCTAGTTGGCTAGTAAACCTATTGATTGCATGTTGTATTTGTGTTGCAATTCGTATCCAGATTAATCTAGATGCGGTTCATGAAAATACAGTAGAACTGCAATAAAAATAAATTGCTAATATTAATATGTACGACTGCATAAGCTTTTAATTTTAATTCCATTTTAAATCATGCGTGCTTAAAAAGGCGTCATCTATTGACGGCCCTGTTACGCTACTCTAATACTTTTATTTTAATCAATTTTTTTTTATCTAGATAAACTAATATAGATAAACTAGTTTGAAGAACAAGAATAACAACTTGCATAAAATGTCAGTAAAATATGGCGTATTAAAAATAATGGCGTATGCTTACTGTGCGCCAATGAAAAATCGTTAACAGATAAAAGATTAAATACTTTTCAACTTTTTAAATTTAAAAATCAAATACGCGTGTTTGTTTTATAATTAACACTGCGCATCTTTAGAGCAAAAGCTTGCATAAGTTAAAGCTTTCTTTAGGGATTAAAGAAATATACTTTTGTTTATACTTTTTATATCAGTTTCGATTTCAGTAAATTAAACTTTCCTTATTTCAACTACTTTATCCTTTCCCAGTAGGACCATAGCTCATTTAACAATTATATTGAATTTATATTTTTTTATTTTTGTTTAATTTTTTTTCTTTATTTTTGTTTAATTAATTTCGCACGAGCACAACTTGCAGGAAAAAAAAACAAATTAAAAAGGCGTCGCAGAACTTCCAAAAACACTTTTAAAAATAGAATTGTATGAAATTCAAAGACGTCATGAGAAAATTGATTAAGTTTGTCTCCTTTACAGAGTCTTTCATTCAAAAAAACAATTCAATCACAGCGGAGAAGTAGTTACCATACAGAAGTTGTCGGTTTATAATAGAAATGGTAAAAAAAACAAGGCAGTAAAAGCCGGGTGTATCATTTATCACTTACTTATACACAATTTATTTAAAAATATAAATTATATATTTAATTTTAAAAATATATATTAAATTTAAATTAAAATGCATTTCAATTTATGTGAAAATTTAAATTTAAACAATTAAACAAATAATAGCATAAAAACTTGTGTAAAATAACTCCCTTCAATATTTAACGTTTATTAATATTTTATCGAGGTAAGATATAAGGATTTTAATAACAAAAAAAATCTTCCCTTGTTCTTGACCCTTCTAGCGGAACCAGCGCAACAAACCACCATCAACCTCCTCTAATCTACAACAATACTGCCACTCACATGACAATTAAAACCACTACACAACCAACAGATTTCTATGATGTGGTGTTTCGTGTCAGAACCGAGCGGAACTATCCACGAGCTTATATTGCCGAAAGGAAGCCGTGGAATAGATTGTCTTGAAAAGGTTAGTTTATCGATCTTTTTTGATATTATTGTTATTTTTTTTTATTTATTGAATTAAAATGCAATTCTGTGAAAAATAACTATGTAGTTAAAAAATTTTAAACGAGATAGTTTTTAGTAACTTATAACCATATCTACATTATAAGTAGATATCTCTGCAATTATGATCATGCATACATAAGCACAGTTATATATATATATATATATATATATATAATATATATATATATATATATATATATATATATATATATATATATATATATATATATATATATATATATATATATATATATATATATATATATATATATATATATATATATATATATATATATATATATATATATATATAAAACATTATATATATATATATATATATATATATATATATATATATATATATATATATATTGTATATAGATTGGCATTATCTAATACAATTTTCACGCTTTAAATTTCAAAATATTCACTTTAACCCCAACAGCTTTTTTGGAAAAAAATTGTTTTTGCTTTAATAAAGTTCTTTCATATCTTTTAGTCAACCAAATCTCAAACTTTCAATCAATGTAAGTACTGAAGCCCTCAAAAGTAACTATTCAAAATACAAAAAGATTTACAAAATCCATAAGTTAATGTATTAACTTATGGATTTTGTTTAAAGCTTCACACACGCACACATACATATATATACATATATATATATATATATATATATATATATATATATATATATATATATATATATATATATATATATATATATATATATATATATATATATATATATATATATATATATATCACAAACAAATCATAGCTAAGGACGCAATTTACTAATATCATTTTTTTCACTCCCAATTGAAAAATGTTCCCTTTGATTTTTGAAAAAAATAAGAATAAAACAAAGAATAATAAAAGGAAATATTGCTGCCATATGTCAAACCCTTAGTTGATGTAATAGCACTCCTATTTGGCAGCAGGCTATAAGATTGTCGATGTATGTACTGAAGGTTCCACACACACACACACACACACACACACACACACACACACACACACACACACACACACACACACACACACACACACACACACACATATATATATATATATATATGTATATATATATATATATATATATTATATATATATATATATATATATATGTATATATATATACATATATATAAAAAAAAGTATATACATATATATAAAAAAAAGTATATACATATATATATAAAAAAAATGAAATGTAGTAAAAATGTGCTGCTGATCATTATAAAACTGGAAAATTTACATATAAATTTCTAAATGTAGAATTTAAAAATAAAAGTTATATAAGAGTTTGTATTCTTTACTGGAAAAGTTCTGGCTTTTTCACAATTTTTTTTTATAGTAGAAATGGAGTGGAATAAAATATCTATTGTTTAAAAAAAGTATTTTTTGTTAGTTTTGCTATTTTTTTTGTTAATGTAACATAAATTTATAGTTTATATGAAAATCTTTTATTTTAACATAAATTACATAAGATTTAATAAGTTATATGCCACATTTTACAGATAGCATCTAGAATAAATTTGGTTGAAAAAGATTACTTTGGTCTTCGTTATATTAACCCTTCAAATGGCGTTGAGTCCTGGTTAAATTTAAGAAACAGGCTATTAGATCAGTTGTATACTGGAGGAGGACCTCATAGAATTCAATTAATGGTGAAATATTTTGTCAATGTTCAAGAACTTCAACAGCCTATTACTAGGTTTGTTACTAGTATTTTTAATTAAAATATATTTTTTATTGATTTTTAAATTTGTTTAAGAAATTTTCTATTATCGTTATCTTTATTAGAGATTTGTATTACTCAACATTAGTCAATCACATCAACCATGGTAAAATTGATTTGAAATCAATTGATAAGAATATAGTAGCTCAAATATTTGCTCTTACAGCGCAAGTTCATGTTGGTGACTTCAATGCTGAAGCTTTACCTGATTACTCTGTGCTTTATCATTTGGATGAGGAATGGAGTTTAGATTTTCAAAAAGTTGTGGAAACAGAACATTTAAAGTTAGACTCTGTTACTCCTTCACAGGCAAAAATTAAATTTATACAACTGGTTAGTGAATTAGACCTATATGGTGTTGAATCATTTCATGTTCATTCTATGGGTGATAATCCTAAAGAGCTAACACTGTCAGTTCGACATGATGGTTTGAGAGTTTATCGAGCAAATTCTTGCAAAGAAAAGAATACAGAAACTGCTAATCTTTTAAAATTGTGAGTGTTTTTTTTTTTGTTTTTTTTTTTTCCAGAATTTGTTTTTTAAGTTATATTATAATTTTTTTAATTTATTTACAGCATAACCTATGATTCAATATCAACTGTATCATACAAAGGTAAACGGTTCACTATTGTTCATGGAAATGGCAATACTGATCACACTCATTCAAGTTTTTTGTTAAAGCGTAATTCAGCTGCCATTAGTCTATTTCGAACATTTACAGAATACCATTCTTTTTTTCAATGCAATACTGTAAAGAGTTCCGTAATTGAAAAATGCAGCAGAAACTCATTTGGCAGAGTGTTTTCTGTCTTTTTCCCTAATTCAAATAAAGGCAAACTTTTTCTGTTTGATGTAATGTGTACTAGAAGACAAGCATACAATCAAGCATGGTCAGTACTACATGCTCCAAATAAAAATCGACAGTCAGCCTTTTATCACAGTGACAGAAGTTTTAATAGAAAGAGTGTTTACAGTTTGAGCTTAGCAGATGAAATTCCTGCAAACAGCTCTGCAAAAGAGCAAAAGAACCAAGAATCATTTTTTTTTATAAATAATGAAGATAAACTTAATAGAAAAGAGCAGTGGAAGTCTACTGTCTCTCACTCAAATGATATAAACAGTTTATCATTAGAGGAATTGCGTGACACAGTCACAGATCTTATTGAAAAAAGAATGTGTCAAGTATGCATGGATGAAGAAGTTTCTACTGCTTTTTGTCCTTGTGGCCATGTAGTGTGTTGCACAGAATGCGCTGCTGTGTGCAGAGAGTGTCCACTCTGCAGAACGCAGGTCACCTATGCACAAAGGGTGTTTTTTAATTGATGCTTGTTTGATTTTGTTTATTTAATTATATAAAAAGAAATTAAAAAATTTTAGCCAGTCAATTTTTAGACTGCTCAAAAATTGATTGTACATTTTCAATACACTTTACTTGTGTTTTAATATTTTATTAATTTGAGTTGAAGTATTATTTATTAAAAAGCTTTTTTTTATGAAAACAGTTAGTGTGATAATACTAAAATGAATGGTAGCTTTGATTTTACAATAAAAATATTAGATTTTTTTTCATTGTTTTTAATAGATTAATCGAAGCATCTCTTAATTTTAAATCTTTTTATTTATTACGATTTAATAGATTTTTTTTTATTCTCTTTCATTTTAATGGTCTTTTTTTGATCATTGATATTTCTTTACACAATGAGTTTTATTATTGTATACTAGTTAAAATGTCTAAGTTGTGTCAGTTTTTGGTTCGTGTGGACTTAACCACACAAAGTTTTGTATTTTTTTTGTTATTTGTAAGCATTTCATTTTTTGTTTGTTGCTTTAAAATCTTTTTTAATGTTCGTATAAAATCGATGTTTCTGAACTTTTTTTATGTGTACGGCTAGGAGCTTTTTCTTCCTACTCAAAAAATATTCTGTGGAATTTTGTTTTATTTTCTTGGAAAGGTTTTAACTTAAAAAGTTTTTTTTAAGGTTTTACGATTGAACAGATAATTATGTAAATTTAAAACTATTTAATGTTAAGTTATTTTATAGTTTATTAGATTAGTGCGCGTTGAATGTGCATTGCATATGTAAGTGTAAAATATAATAAAATTATTTAATCTGTTTACTTAGATTGGGTTGTAATGTTTTTAGTTTATTTTATACTTCTTAAACTATTTTTTACAAATATTTTGCGGATAAATTTTTATTATTTAAAATCGTGCCGAGTTAGAAAAAGAGCTTTCGGAAAAATTGTTAAAAATTATATACTTTTAATCTTTATATTAGTCTATTGGAAATTAAACAAAGCAAAAATATTCGTAATTTTAAAAAAATAAGCAAGACTATTAAAATTAGCTTCATATTTATTTAAGCTTATTTAAACTTTAACAACGTTTGACGCGAGAGAGTTGCGCCAAAACAGTTATAAACAGAGTTACAACGTCATTTCTAATACAGATACCTTTGATGTAGGAGAGATTCTACCGAAAATCATATTCAATTTTGCATGGTAAAACCTTTTCATAATGATGGTCTCGTCTTTACGTAATGTTTATCATTTTTACTACAATAAACATTCAATGTTATGTTATCCTGTTACTGACGAATGAACTTGATAACGCTTTTTTATTATTAAGTTTTTTAGATTATTGATTTAAGATTTAACTTTAATGGGTATTGTCTAAAGTTATATCCTTTTGAAACAGTGCAATTTAAGTGCAACACTTAGCTTTTGTGAGCAAGCAGCAGTTTTTAAGCGTGTTTTCCTCTAACGTCATCCAAACACATTTACGCGAATTATACCATTTAATTGTTCAAAATATGTAAACAAAGCGTAACGTTTTTTTACATAACGCCCCTCTCTCTCCTCTTTTTTATTATTAATAAAGTTATAACGAATAGTTCATGGGTTCTTTACAAACTGTGCAACAACGTAAAATTTAATATTTAAATACAACTTTATTTGCTTCTAAATCTGTCTTCAGTAACTTGAGAAACAACTACGAGTTATTTGAGAGCGTATATACTGAGTATATAGGCTCTCTACGAGTTAATAAACATTTTTTTTTTAATGCATAATTTTAATTCTATAAATTAAAATGCTTTTAATTTATAGACTTGTAATGAAATTTAAAATTTGTTTATTTATATGGTAATACTAGTGAATGTTTAACTTTTTAAGGCTAATTGTGTTTATCCTCAAGTCGAACAATACTTTTTTTTACTGACCTAACGCTACGATTTGCTATTATTTTTGTTATGAACTTTTGACTTTAAATTTCTGTGATATGCATAGAAGTTTGAATAGATTAATTAGCTGCTTTTGCATAAACTATTCTGAAGATTGTCATCTACTTACGTTATGTTACTGACGTAATACTCTAACTCAGAGAGCCGTAGTTCATAAAAATGCAAAAATAGTTTTCTTTGAGTTTTTTTAATTTTCATTATATTTTCCGATAACATCTATTATTGATAAAACTTGTAAATATTATCTTTGTTAAAGAAACTATTTAATTCAGTAGACTCTAGGGCGTAGCCTGTAGGTGCCAAAATGAAAATACGCTAAAACATTAAGAATTTTTTGAAAATTTGAAATGTTAATTTTTAAACAAAAGTTTAATTCAAGTTTGTTTTAATGTAAACTAAAAGTAAGCTTGGCTCCTTTATCTATTTGTTGAGTTTCCTAGTCTACTGAAGAATTACTGAAGACCTAAAGTAATGAAGCCCTGTCAACAAAAATGACGACGTCACACAAAGCAAATAAAATATAGTTATAGTTTAAAAATAGTTTTATTTCTAATTTTCTTTCTACTCTAATTACACATTTTCCATTCTAATCACACATTTTCCACTCAGATCACACATTTCCCACTCTGATCACACATTTATCAAATAAAAAGTTTTTTTTTCAATAATAGAATTTTAGTTATAAAAGAAAATAAAATAGTTATACAAGCAATTGATGCTTCAAATAAGGTGCAAATACATTTTTTTGGGAAATATATTAACATCTAAATGTTTATTTCAGGTAGTTAAATGAAGAAGATTATATTTGACAATCCAATCTCTTCATTGCGTTGTTTAATTTCATCAATATACTATATATGACTTATATATATATATACATATATATATATATATATATACATATATATATATATATATATATATACATATATATATATATATATATATATATATATATATATATATATATATATATATATATATATACATATATATATATATATACACATATATATATGCAGGGCCGTCTCGAAGGCGGGGGGGGGGGATGTCAGGAGTGTCCCACCCATTACAGTTGACATTTTACTAACTATATTTATATTAAAGTTATAGTTGGCAAATTTAAATATAAATATAGTTTGCTATATTTATAGTTGGCAAATTGTAAGTATTGAGGACCTTTTTTTTTTTTTTTTGGCTCTGTATGTGCATTTATAATTCCCAGCAAAATCAAAGTTTACGATAGCTTCATTAAAATTTAGTTTAATATATTCAACATTTATTTGATGATATACTTTAGCTTGATATCTTATATGCCTGTCGCTATTTTTCCCATTTTTATTTTTCTTCGCTTTTGATTGAGTAAAATTTTAGATTCATAAATTTTGAGATTAACTACGTCATGAGCTCTTTTTTCTCTGAATTATTTTTTATTCAATTTTCAATATTTCCTTTGAAGTGCTGATAGGAAGCAAAATTTGATAATAAACAAAACAAAATATGATGGTAAACAAAACGAATGTAATTTATATATTACTTGAGCAACATTAATAAGTAATTAAAAAATACAGTCATGACACTTTAATATTTTATAAACTAATTTGAAACTTTCAAGTAGAATTTACAAATCCTGAATAAATAAAAGTTCTTTTGTTAAGTAATTTATGGCTATTTAAACCTGTATTACAAATGCAATGAATCTCTAAAGTTCTTAATTATTAATTTTATTTAGTTCACCTTAAAAGCGATATCGTTTTTAGTTGCAGGTATAAAAAAATACTTAACCGTTGTTTTTTTATACCATAGCTCATCAGAAACCTGGGTGAACTGTTCTGCCTATTGAATGAAAAAATAAAGTTTTAAGAGAAGCACATATGATGTACGAATGAAGTACTCTTTTTTATTGCTAAACAAAAAGAAAAAGAAATTTTCTTTTTGTTTATCAATGGAAAAAAAAAAGGAAACCTTACTATATTAACACTATGCAAACTGTTATATAAACCGAACAAAGATCTCAAATACATACATAGTAACTAGACCTCGAACTGAAAACTCAAATAATGCAAATTGGAAAGATGAAATAAGAATATTTGTCTTGTAAAATAGGAAAGGTAATCTATACTTGATTGCAAATATGTATTATTATTTTAAAAGTAGCTTGACGTTATTTTTTTTTTTATTATTATTATTATTTTTTAATTACCTTTATGTTTTTTTTTACACATTTCAACAGTTTTATGGGTTAGCCCTATGTTTAATAGATAAACATTGTTTTGAAAGTAACTAAAAATTTATTGGTTTTATTTACTTTTTGAAAAATATAATTTCAGCATGATTCTTGATTGCACGCTGGGTCCCGTAAACCCTATAACATTTTAAAGTTACGTTACGTCTCAATCGGTTACAATTGGTAACAAGGTTAAATTCTATAATTATTATTTAAATACTAAGTAAATAAAATTGAAAATGCAGTATATGTTTGTTCATCATTGCCGTATGACTAAATATTATCTTTTATTTTGTTTTTATTGTAATAGCTTCGTCTCAATTGGTTACATTGTCACGAAAAAAAAAGTCTCAATTCGCAACGTTACGTCTCAATTGTTCTTTTTAACTTTTCAAAGTACAACCAAATGAGACGTAACATAATGTATTTATTTATTTATTTACATTTTCACAGCTACATATTTGTTGCAATTTTTTCACATCGTAATGTAAGCAAAATATACTTCCGTTACAAAAGATTACATTTAATCAAATAGAGCTAAACTAAACCTAACAGAAAAAAATAACACTCAGTTTAAAAAGAAAAAACAATTGAAAAAAATAACTTTAGGAAGCATTAGTTGAATATATTATGAAACACTTGTTAAGATAGATTATATTGTTCTAGGGAAACTCGTAGAAGACTGAAAAAGTCTTATCATTGAGAACCTTGGGGTATTACGCAAGATACACATAAACATTGTGATTCTCATGCACAAATACTTTAAATATTATTGTGATAAAATTTTGTCTTGTTTATTCTAGTTGTATTATGATTTGTGTGTGTGTATTTTTTTATTTATTATTAATATTTTTTGTTTATTTATTTATTAAAATGTTTTTTAGATATATGTATAAATCCGATTTTCCTCACGTTGTAGATAATTTTAGCTCAAATTTTGATTTATTATGTGAACTAGAACAATTCTATGCAATTATTTATATTAAGAACAAGATTTTTAAGTTTTGACTTTAAAGAAAATATTTTGTCAGGAAGAATAATTAAGGTGTATTTCGGAATTAATTTGTTAATAAATAGGGGCCACGATAAGAGATAGAGACATTAATTGTTTGGGTTCTTTTAATATTGTTGAAATCGATACTTAGAGAGGGAAGAATTGATGAAAGTGCCTTTTTTTTGTTGCTTTGAATAAAATAAAATATATTTAGTTTTTTTTACATTTATTGATATCTTATTTGCACTGAACCATGTTTTAAGTTGTTGAAGCTCAAGGTTGACTTTGTCAAAAAGATCATCGATAGAAGAAAATGAATAAAACGGATTTGTATCATCTGCAAACATTATGCAATCAAGATTTGTAGAAGCTTTAGGAAGGTCATTAATTTATATAAGGAACAAAAAGAGGGCAAGAATTGATCCCTGTAGAACACCACATTTTATTTTTAATAGCTTCGAATTAGAAATATCGTCGATTATGGCACATTGTTGTCTATTATTTAAATAACTGGTAAACCATTTAATAGTTTTGTTTTTTATACTATGTATTTTTATTTTTTCAATCAGAATTTTATGGTTGACCGTATTGATAGCTTTTGTAAGGTCAATAAAGACTCCATATACAAATTGTCCTTTATCATAAGATGAGCTGATGTTAT